GTATGGCATGTATTCTCTTTGACAGGCGATCAACCACTATCATAATTGCATCAAACCCTTGGGATAGGGGGAGCTCTCCTATGATGTCAACTGAGATAATCTGCCAGCATCGGTCTGGGACTTTGTTTGGCATGAGCTTCCCAGTCTTTCGAGCAGGGAAGGATTTCACCTGTTGGCAAGTGTCACATCCAGATACATATTTGGCAATATAACGAGAGAGCCCTGGCCACCAGTAGTTCCAAGACACAAGTTCTAATGTCTTCCACTGACCAGGGTGTCCAGCCATTGGAGTGTCATGATGAGCATGGACTATGTCATGGCAGAGAAGGGGGTCCTGGGGAACGTAGACCCTTCCTTGATAGAGCATAGGCCCTTCGTGTAGCTCCCACCCTGGAGGCACCTCAGGTCCAGATTCTAACTCATGGGTAACACTTGCTACCGAGCCCCTGACCCTTTTGCACCTTCTGATCCGCTGCAGGAATCCCTCCTCTTCTGCTGGGAGAGAGACAGCTGCTGCAGCTCAGATGTGGAAAAGGTCTGGGCGTAGCAGTGTGACCTCAGAGTTGTCCTCTTCTCCCCGTGGGTGGTCTGCTTGTCGTGACAGGGCATCTGCTTTCTGCATGAGTCTTCCTGGTCTGTGTGTGAGCGTGAAGTCAAAGCGAGAGAGATGCAGGGACCATCAGGCTTGGCGTCGGTTGAGTTTCTGGGCTGACCAGAAGTAGGAGAGGTTTCGATGGTCAGTGAAGACTTCAAAAGGTTCTGCTGCTCCTTCCAGGAAATGCCTCCACTCCTCCAAAGCGCGGACTATCGCAAGCATCTCTTTGTCATGGATCACTCAACGTCATTCAGACTTCGGGACATAAACCCTACCGGGTGGTACTGCCGGTCTTCTTGGAACTGAGAGAGAACAGCTCCAGTCACGAAGTTAGAGGCATCACACTCTAGTTGGAAGTGCCCCTCGTCTGAAGGAAAGACAAGGACAGGGGCTGAGGTGACAGCCTTTTTTAAGGCATCAAACCCTTCTTGTTCTTCTCTGCCCCATCTCCAAGGTCTGGACTTCCGTGTCAGTGCATTCAGGGGTCTGGCGATTTCAGAGAAGTCATGGATGAACTTCCGGTAGAAGTTCACAAATCCAAGGAAGGATTGCATGTCTTTGACTTGTTTTGGGACTGGCCAGTCCATGACGCCTCTGATCTTTACCGGGTCCATCCCTACCTGATTCTCCGATATCACCAGCCCTAGATACTCTATCTGGGTCTGTTCGAACTTGCATTTCTCTGGTTTGAGGAAGAGTTTGTGTCTTCGCAGGGTGGCTAGCACCTCCAGGGTGACCTGACGATGTTCTTCAAGAGTTGACGTGAAAAGTAGGATGTCATCCATATAACAGATGGCAACACCTCTGTCAATAAACTCTCGGAGAATGTCGTTCATCATCGTCTGGAAGGTCATGGGGGAGTTGCAGAGACCAAAGAACATAACCAGAGGCTCAAACAATCCTCGGTTGGTGCAGAAGGCAGCTTTCCATTCGTGCCCTTCTTTAATCTGGACATTGTTGAAACCCCATCTGAGGTCTAAGACAGAGAAGTACCTCGAGCCCTGAAGACGGTTGAGCACATCTGACACAAGTGGGAGTGGGTATGAGTTCTTCACTGTGATCTCATTCAGCTTTCGGTAGTCTTGAACAAGTCGGAGGGATCCGTCCTTCTTCTTAACGAAAAACACTGGGGCCCCCATTGGGGACTTAGACGGCCTGATGCGGCCATTGGCCAGATTTTCCTGCAAAAACTCATCAAGTTCCTTTTGTTCATTTGGGGACAAAGGGAAGGTGTGTGACCATGGGAGATCAGCCCCAGGCAGGATATCTATTGCATGATCCCACGGCTTCTGTGGGGGTAATGCATTAAATGCTTCCTTCGAGAAGACATCTTCATAGAGGCGATAGGCCTCAGGGATCCCTGTCACGGCCGTGCATTCCAGCCCGTTAGCTGCCCGTCCCGATGCCGCCTGAGCCCATTCCCACTATGTGAGCGTGAGCGCAAGCCCCAACCTCAGCCCTATCCTCCCTGAGGACTCCCTGCTCACTCCCCTGCTTGCCCCTAGGCTCCCCTGCACCTGGCCGACTCCCCCACAGCCACACCAACCTTCCCACCCTGAGTCCACCTCCAGCACCGTGCCCAGCCCGACTCCTCTATCCCACCCACTCGGCCCCTACAGGGCCGCTACCATTCTCGCACCCGACTCCGGCCCAACTCCGAGTCCAGCGCCGCTACAATACCATCGCTGCTATCATGGCCCTATGCTCCTTCCTTTATTTATCTGTTATTGTTTGTTTTGACCCTCGGTCATTGCCGGCCGCTGTGTGGCCAACCCCGCTCCTTATTCATGTTTGCTTCCGGACCCTTCGGCCTTCGGCCCGGGTCCGCTTCCATTCATTCCTTCTTCCTATATATATCCTGTAGGATACTTTATTGTACCTTAGCTCTAATATCGATGTGACCACGACCCCTAAGTCCTGACCCCAACAAGGCAACCCCAGTGAGTCCAAAATGAAGGCCAAGAGACAGCTAGGGGGCACAGCACTCCCTTTAGAGTTGCTGAGGCCAAATGCCCTACCCCCGGGCCTTGTTTGTGGCATCATGGCCATCGTGGCCTATAGCGGCCCGCAATGGCGACCCTCGGTGCCGACCCTGGACCAGTGTCTAACAATCCCCCCTCTGGGGAAGACTCACTCTGCCGGGCCTTCTCTGTGAATTGTTGAGAAGGGGTGGTGGCAGCTTGAATCTCTGGCATGTCATGCATCGACATCATGTGAACCACAAAGACTTCGTCTCCGGGTTCTATCAATTCTATTCCCGCGGGTACAGCTCTCTGACACTCCGGTGGACACCGTGTCATCGTCACTTTCTGTCGAACCCAATCTACCTCGGGGTTGTGGAGGAGAAGCCATGGGTGGCCAACAATAACTGTCTGTTGGCCAAGGTTCGCGACAGCGAGCTTACAACGCTCAGAGTGATCCCCAAAACCGAGGATGACGTCGACTTCCTCTGTGATGGGACCGTTCTCGTTCTGAGTCCCATTGACGTTGCAAACAAGGATGGGTGAAGCTAGGGGGGTCGTTGGCAACTGGTGTTTACGGACGAATTCTTTGCTGACGAACATTCCCATGGCTCCTGAATCAAGTAGCGCGGACGTCGACACAGCGGCAAGTGACGTAGTAGATCTGAGTGAGATCAGAATATTCATCGAGCATGGGGTTTTCCCAGTCATCTTTCGTGCATCGGCTTCTCTTACTTTCGTGTTCCTCTTTCTTTGTGCGACTTTAGTAATCTTTCTCACCTTTGCCTCGTTTACAGGTTCGATTTCGACCTTCATACACGGATATTTACAATTTTTCGAGGCATTAACAGGCGAGTCGCCCAGTCGGGGTGCAGCTTTCACCGACTGGCGCTTCAAAAACCTTCTTCACGGGGTTCCTCCCTTTCCACGGCATTCCTGTTCTCAGCAAGCTGGCTTTTGATCAGCTGGCTTATCGCGTGAAGGTCTTCTGGGGATAAGGATAGGGGTTGCAGGTCCTCTGGTTCTTTCACTGCCGTGGGTTCATCAGCTACGCGAATCCTCTGTCCAGCCGCTGAGGGGCAGTTACGTGCGATATGGCCTGGTTGCCTACAGTTGTAGCAGAGGTCGCTTCATGGGTTTCGACGAGGTTGTCGGGCTCGGTCAAGTTCCATGGGCTGAGGATTAGTCGACGAGGAAGACGGGCTCAGCATCTGCACGTTGGGTGAGCGTGTCGCATTCTGGTGAGTGACTGTGGTGTTATTTCGTTGAAACTGGCCGCGTGTCTGATGAGGGAGGCTCCCAAAGGTCCGTTGTAACGGGTCTATCACCACTAGACTCAAGACAGAAGAGAGGGGGAGGGTTGGAGTGGTCACTTGCACAGGTTTGTTAACTGGTGTGGATTCCGCTACTCCTCACTGTCTAGCTAACTATACAGCTGGTCACGGTATCACGGAAGAGTCCAGTAATGACAAATAAGGAAAGAACAATAAGAAGGGGAAACATCAGGTGGAAATGGAGTCAGAAAAATCAGGAAAAATAAGAAATGTGTAGGAGGGAACATTGGCTAAGGGTGGTAGAATCGCGGGATTTGGCTTGTTTATGGTACACCAGAAAATCCCCGTTACATACAGGCCTTGCTCTTGATTGCAGTCCCTTGCAATCTCCCGAAAGGAAAGAAGTCAAACAGAGATAAACAAAGTAATCAGATGAGGCCCCGGTGTTGAATGCCATGTGACTTCGGAATTTGTCCGGACCAGGGGTCATGTGCAGGCGTGAGAAGATCCTAGGCGAGTTACTCGCCCACGGACACATGAGCTGCGACGAAGTTCCTTGCCCATGCGACTGCTTCGCGTACTTCAACAACTTCCTTCGGCACTCACTCATCCATCAATCGCCTCAACTCTTGCCATTCCCAACACCATCAACTAGCTCCAGCGTCAACCTACACCAGAACTCGACATCGCGCGCGCAATTTGGCATCACGCTACCACCCATTGGAGAACCATCGGTCGAATGGGAGGATTGGGCACAATGGTACGCCTCGATTCCACTCCCATCGCTAACACATGTGCACGGATACTGACTTTTCCGACATCGGCATAGGACTTCGCGGATCCGCGATCGACTTCGCGCTCAACAACGAATGGATCTGTAAGGCCGGGAGGCCTTGGCTCTTCTAACTTGTACTCAGCGCTGTCGTGTACTGGAATCAGCTTGTATCTGGCTGGGGCGTCATGTCACTCATGCACGGGCTCGGAACTGTCATCTACTGCTGGAACTCGAAGCTAGGGCCGGGAGGCCTTAGCTCTTTGGGTTTGAACTGGCGACGCTAGGGTTCTCATGTCGCACACAATGACTGGGATCGGTGCTGCCTCGGTAGGCATCGCGCACGGGCTCGGGATCGACATCAGACGGCAAACTTGGCGCTAAGGCCTCCCGGCCTTGGCTCTTTTGACTTGTGCTCGGTACAATCTAGCGTTGTGGGATCGGGTACGGTCGTGGCATAGTGTGCTGCGCTTGGGCGACCTCAACATCAGGTACGACGTCGCTGTGTGGCAACTTCGGCGTGAAAATCGGGGAAAATCGAACAGAAAGCGAAAGGAGCGTGGATTTATCGTGTCAAACTCGAACGAAGGTTATCTGGCTAGGAAATCGTGGCATCGAGGACTAACGACGCGTCCAACTCGGGCCAAACTTGTAAACTCAGAAATAAACGGCGTGGTTTCGCATGCAAGAAATAAGTGCACAAGTTGCACTCATCGGGAATCGTAAGAACACGCGTAAAACTTGAAAGAATGTTGGGAAATGATTAAAGGTCGGCTTAGTTTAAGACGAGGGCGGGCTTATGCTTGGAAAGAAAAGATGCCCTCCGGCATCGCGAGTATGTGGGTGTCACCTTGGGACTCAACACCACGCAAACATTTGACCTCTGGAGTCTCCTCTGACTCTTGTTCTCGGGCTGGGCCATTTCCCGGACGTTTATTCATGTTTGAGACCTTGTCGGGGTCTTTCTCAGGTCGGCATTCATAGCCGTCATCGACTAGGTCGGGGGAACGTGGGGTCTTTGGGGGCTGGGGTGCTCCATTGCCAGGACCAGCGCTAACGAGATTCCGGGAGGTAGGGCCGTTCATTGCGTCGAATACATCATGTATGTTAGCATCTTTGTCGATCAAATCATAATCCTGTTCTCTATTCAACTCGCGCGTAAGAGTGACTGAAATCGGCATCGAATTAAGCTCATCGCTGAGGCTGAGGGACTTTGGCTCTGATTTAGCCTTGAACTCGGTCCCATCTTGCGCTAGGCTGGGTCTGAACTGGATTTCGCGCTCCGCGTCTTGGGCAACTTCAAAGAGAATCACAAGGCCACCGTGAATGACATAGGTGCCCTCTGGCGTCTCAAGCACGGAAACCTCGCGGCGGAAGTCGGTACACAATGTGGAACAACAATTGAGCTCATCGTTGAGGCCGGGAGGCCTTGGCTCTTTATGCTCGTGCTCACTGTCCTCTTGGCTGAGTCCAGGACTCGTGCAATGTTCGACTTTCTGCTTGGTTCAGACTCGCCATTGACTTCGAACAGGGCGATCTCATCATCGCAAATGATATAGGTGCCTTCCGGCATTTCAAGTGTGAGGATGTCACTGTGGAGCTTGGCATCTCGTATCCTTTCGGCCTTTGGAGTCACCTTAGACTCGTGTTTGACTTCAAAGAATGCGATCATGTCATCGCAAACGACATAAATTCCATCTGGATTTTCAACTGCGAAAGTGTCCCCTTGGAACTCGATCTCTCGCGAACATTCGGCCTCTAGAGTCTCTTCAGACTCATACTCTCGGGCAAGGCCATCTCCCGGACGCTTATTCATATATAAGGCCTTGTCAGGATCTTTCGTGGGCGGTTCAGCATAACCGTCATTGAACTCGGATATGGTTGGCAGCGACGGCATCCTAACGTGCTTAGGCGCTTCACCACCACGATTGGGATCGGATTCGCAGCTCAGAGCTTTATCTGGATCCTTCTTGGGTGGACTACCAGATCCTTCATTGTACTCAGGTGTGAAATGTCGCCTCTCTGCGCGCATCTTGGCTTCACCATACCCGCTGGCGCTGGACTCGCCACTAGAGTCCCAAACTGAAACGCTGGATTCCTTGGTGCTCAAACGTTCACTATATTCTCCGGCTCTGTCGCAAGGCACAAGGAACTCGTTCTCACTGTGGACCGGAGTCGCATCTTCGGCTTCATGACTATGACTGGTCGACGCAGCATCGATTGGCTCGATCTCTTGGCAGCTGGCATTGATAGACTCAGTGGAAGACTCGACACTGCTGTACTGTTCGATTGGGATTGCGACGCTAAGGTTGAGCCTTGCCTGTTTGAGTCTACACCTCTCAGGTGTAAGAATCAGCGCGCGCGGGGGCAGTTTCTCATAAGCCTGATCAAGCGACACGGGCGCTACTCTGGTCGCCTTGGCTGGAATGACGTGTTCAACTAGCAGCAACGGCTTGGGGTGAAGACTTTGTGGCATGTTTTCACTCTAGGAAGCTTGACATCGACGGCAGCGGCTTGGCTGGCGACTCGGAATCCTCGGCTAACTTGCTGACTGGGCTCTCGTCGCTCATTACTCTGGATTGACTCGAAACGACGTGGAACATTGCACAAAAGATGGCATTGGTCATTACTCAGTGGTCTTGGGCCGGCTTTGGGCACATCGGGCTCAAATCCAAAGGCAAATTGGTACAAGTCCGACATCTCAGCGATGTCGGCGCTTATCTCTGGAAGCACAAAGCACTGGCTGTGATCAGCCTCGGATGCGCTCTCGGAGTCATACAACAGGCTATAGGCTTCGTCTGGGCGAATAGCATCGGTGGGCGCATGTGCTGAGACTGCGGCAACTGGGTCTTCTGCAAAAATGTCGAGTTCTGAGTCGGATTCGAGGCCGTTAGGCCTTAGCTCTTGATCATTAAGCTGTGGCACATCGGAGAAACTCGCAGAATTGTCGTAAGAACTTGTCACTAGGCTAGCGTCGTCAAACTCTGGCTGGGAAATGCACTCATCGGTCACAGCAATGGACTCGGGTTCATAGGCGCTGGGCGTTTCCCAGGTTTCAGACTGGTACTGGCCCATCAGATCGAAGGTTGAGCCACTGGAACTCGTCTCTGGGGTTTCTGAGTCTCCTGAAGCGCTGGGGCGCAATTCCATGTCAAACTTGGGCAGAAAGTCTTCAACTGTTGTAGATCGCGATAAATAAACTGACGACGCGCCAGACACACTGTCCTGAGTGGCTTGCGAGCCACTGGGGCCTTCGCTGGAACATGGGCTTGGTTCAGGCTCATTGCTGATGTCGCCATTAAACATAAATTCTTGAAGCAGCATCCGCGCTGTTGCGATAACGTCGCACATATGAGGTGGATCGGCCCACAGGCCTTCAATTTGGAGGTCAAAGCTGACTTGGTCCCTAAACTTGGATGGGAAGCCTTGGAAAAACAATTCGTCACGCTCGATGGGAGTGAGGAGGTACCGGACTTCGAGGGTTGCAGCGATAATGCTGAACTTGCGCAGGTACTGGTCGAAGTGGTCAAAAGTCGTCATCTTGCGACGTTTCTCTACGAGCTTGCACAGATTGTTGGTGCGATATCGGTCTTCTTTGTCAGCGCCGTGATAAATCAGCAATTCAGTCTTGAGTAACTGCCAATCTGATTTCTTGAACCCGTCAAGGGTGGTAACGAACTTGGCTTCCTTCTTGGAACAATACGCGATGAGGAAGTCGCACTTCTGGGTCTTCGTGAATAGTGCCGCGTCAGCACACGACTCATACTTGCAGAGAAACCTGGCAATTCCTTTGCCTTTGAACAAAGGCGCTTCTGGGGTGTGGGGAATGGGCATGGGAACGTATAACAATGGCGATTCAATAGCCGAACTCGCAGCCATCTTGAAAAGTCAACAAAACGAAGTAAGAACTTGAAAACAGATTGTCGGGATCACTTGGGACCCGCTCCAGCAATACTTGGAGTGATTCTCTATGCCGCTTGTCGTCCGGCAAGGAGAGGAATCGTAAAAACGAGGGTAAAACGGGGTAAACGGAGTGACACGTCGCAAAAACACGTTGCAAACTTGATAACCAGATAACTAATGCAGGCTCCTGTACTCTCTTCTTGAGAACTGCCAGGAGTTAACCACTTGAGCAATAAACCCGACCTCCTGTGCCTCGTCGTGAGATCCGCCAGGAGGTACAATCGCGATAAACTTGCTGAATGGCAACACGTCGCTAAAACTTGATAACAAACTCGGTGTCCTGTGCCCTCGTCTTGAGGTCTGCCAGGATAAACAATTGCGCAACTTTCTTAATCTTGCAGGTGCAGGTGAAACGTGTGGATCCGCAGACTCGGAGATCCCTGGCTAGTACTTCTGCCTCTTCTTGAGGTGCAACAAATGGTGTAGATAGTCAATGTCCAAAATAACGATGGTGTTGTCAAACAAATGAACAGATGGTGAAACTTGCGTGGTTGAGAACTCGGTGTGTGCGACCCTTCGGAATACCCTCCCCTGTAAGGACCACCAGATTTGTAACGGGTCTATCACCACTAGACTCAAGACAGAAGAGAGGGGGAGGGTTGGAGTGGTCACTTGCACAGGTTTGTTAACTGGTGTGGATTCCGCTACTCCTCACTGTCTAGCTAACTATACAGCTGGTCACGGTATCACGGAAGAGTCCGGTAATGACAAATAAGGAAAGAACAATAAGAAGGGGAAACATCAGGTGGAAATGGAGTCAGAAAAATCAGGAAAAATAAGAAATGTGTAGGAGGGAACATTGGCTAAGGGTGGTAGAATCACGGGATTTGGCTTGTTTATGGTACACCAGAAAATCCCCGTTACACCGTCCTTGCCATGTCTGCACCTGGATGTGATCGAACCTTCTGTGCTGGTTGTCTAGCAGCAACGTGCGCTGCTTCCAGTCTTCCCAAGTCATTGGGAACGGGTGAGACCTGTAGATGGACTCTCGGAGGGGGTGGGTGATCGCTCGCTGGAACTTATCGATTAACCCGGCCTCTCCTAGCCCTGAGGGTGGTCCGTGGAGCTCAAAGAGCTGAATGACTGTCTCCACCAGGCTGGTGCCTTGCCTAGCGTCTGATAGTTTCTGCATCGCGGTCGCTGCTCAATTTGGATCGGTGAACAAATCTTTCAGCTCTTGGAGGAAATTGTCGAGTGTAGGGACGGCAGCATTGGGGGATAGGTAAGCATTGATTTTCTGGGAGGCCCAAGGGGCCACTGTCCCTTCTTTCATGTGCGATAGGACGAACAGGATCCGTTGTTGGTCATCGGGATACTCAGTATGGCGGAGGGATAGATACAGGCGGCACTGTGCTAGAAAGTCATCTAGCCCTTCCCTGTCACCATTGAATGGTGACGGGGTGGCAACTTTGGGAGGTCTCGGAGCAGGGGGGAGCGCTTGGCCTGCTTGGGTGGCCTGGGCAGTGAGCAGCGCTTGGACTAACTGGGTGAGCTGTTGGATTTGTTCCTGAGTAGACATAGCAGTGTCTGATGCAGACTCAGGAAGTGGGTTGAAACTTTCTTCTGATGTCAGAGTACCGAGCTGCTCAGTATCTAAGTTGAGGAATCCGGAGCTCTCGCTGGAGCTGAGACTGAAAGGGAGAGGGTCGGTTTCAATGGGGGAACCCGATAGAGCGGGTTGTGATGGAGATTCCAGCTGAGCAGCAAGGGGGAAAATGAGAGAAGAAAGTTACCCTCCCCGCTTGCTACTCAGGAAATGATAAGGTCAGGGTACTCGGCAATGCAGGGCCGCTTTACAAGAGGGAATATATTACATGTCCATGTCAGTCCGGGGATAGTGATCAGGCAGTGCTGGTCTGGAGTTGATGTGTCATCAGTCATGAGTAAACAGTCCAGACCTGGTTGTACCCTGACAATGCCAAAGTCACATGGGAACAAAAAAAGAGTTGCTCCCATGGGGGGGTGTAGACTGGTTTTGAGTGGGGGTATTAGTACTTTTCCGCATATGTCTGTGCGCAAACAAAGTTGTGGGAGGTTACACTCAATTGCTCACGTGAATTTCCTCAAACTAAACATATACACGTGATTTTTCACATAAACCTATCATATCTCTCTCAATTCTCATCCGTTTCTCCTCGGGTTTTTTTAGTGGGCGCGTCTCAATGCCCTCTACATGCCGTATTATTAGTCCGACTCGTCGTTTGGCGATCCTGAGGAGATTATGGCGATTTTCCTCATTTCCCACACAAAACTGTATGGTATTAATCTTATATCTCGCTTGATACTGAACCAAACGTTCTATAGTTTTTCGTACCATTTTATATATTATCAACGCAAGTTTTTCATATTTTTTTATATTTTACATGACGTCTGTGAGGCACTGAGAGCGTTTTCCCACGCACAGACCACGCGCAGAGCAGACACTACGGTTGTATCTCTGTCAGTTCTTATTCGTTTCTCTTCGGGTTTTTTTTAGCGGGCGCGTGTTAATGTCCTATACAATCCGTACTATTACCCCAACTTGATATTCTGCGATTTTGAGGGTGCCAAGTGAAACTTAATAAAATAATTTATCATATCTCACCTGATACTGGACCAAATGTCCTGAAAATTTGCGTGATAGTTTTTATATTATCAACGCAAGCATTACATATTTTTACATATTTTTAAAACATCTGTGAGGCGTTGGAGGCGGTTTCCCACGCACAGATCATCCGCGGAGCTGACAGTGGATTGGTATCTCTGTCAGTCCTTGACCGTTTCTCGTCGGGCCTTTTGCAATGGGCCCGTACCGACCTCCCTTCCATTTATTATTGTTAGTGCAAGTCGTGAATGAGCGTGTATGAGGAAGTAGCACGGTTTTTCCACAAATAAACCATGTACATTAGTATCTCTGTCAATTCTCATTTGTTTTTTGTCAAATTTCTTTTAATGGGCCCGTACCAACCCCCTGGTCATTTGATATTATTGATGCAAGTCGCGAATGGGCGTTCATGAGGCAGTAGGACGTTTTTCACAATCTTTCACAAAAAAAACATGCACATTCGTATCTTTGTCAATTATCATTCA